TTTTCAAGACAAAGTACGTAGCCTTTGACATTTTGTATTTACCTTCCCTTTTAAATTAAGAAAACTAATACTTCACATTTAAAAACAATGTTTAATTATTGGTAATATGGGAGATACAAAAAATATTCCTCTTCCTCTTTTTGCCCCCCAGGATGTATGGCTTGTTTCAGACATCATTTTACTTTGGTTATATGGCAGTATTTAGCACAGCGCTGGGAATAATGTGCGGTAAGTTTTCTGCAGCATACTGAAAAGCTGTCATCTCTCTTTTCTGCCAGGCCCATTCTGTCATATTGTGTTTCAGCCTTAAGTTAGCATGTATCCTGTCTGTGAGTTCGTAGTCTATTGAGAAAACAGAGAACACAAGCTAGGAAGACTCCTAAATGGGGGGAAGCATTCCATAAATTGGTTTTCTGGATCTGATTCATTCTGGTGGGGAACATGAGTTTGCTAGCTTATCAGATTTTTAGTCTTTAAGGTTTTTGTCATATGTATGGCTCTTGGCAGCACATGTACAGACACTAAGCCGAAATGCATGTGTTGTTTGAGATGAAAAGAAGCTTGCACTCCAGGGTGAACAAAATGTAATTTAAAAAAAAATGATATACCAGAAATGACAATGGTGCATATCTTAAGCTTTTTAAGGAAGGAGCTTTTTGCAGGCTATATGGTTGTATGGCATAAACATAATTATTGAAGCTTATCTGATGTGCTTTTACTTGGGAGGAAGTCCTAATGAATTCGATAATAATAGCAGATATGCTGAGGATTGCAGCCATTGTCTTGTAGAACTTAAGCAAATCTAACCAAAAATATTTGCCTTGTTTTTGCAGGAGCTATTGGCTATATGGGAACAAGTGCCTTTGTTCGAAAAATCTACACTAATGTGAAAATTGACTAAGGAAAGTGAACTCTGGAACAGTTAACCCTTGGGGTGGGGTGGGGTGGGGGACAGAGTATATAAACTTGCACACCAGAAAGCGCAAGGAGAAAATTGTGTATTTAACACTGGGCACTCTGTGGGTCTCTCTTTTGTGGATCATTTAAAGCAACATCTGTTTTCATTGATCCTAGGTTCTTACTGACTTTCTTCAACTGTTCTCAGCAAAAGCTTGGATTGTATTTGGTAGGCATCACTCCCCAGTACATGCTAATCTTCCCAAAAACTAGCTCACAAAGATGAAATAGACTAGCTCTCTTCAGTGAAGAGGACAAAACTGTATTTACACATTTGTTCCATTTAATTAAAAAAGGAAAATGAAACTTGTGGATCCTAAAACTTTGCTGATTAGTTTCTGGTACTTTAAAATACTATTCTGGAAAGATTTCCTCCATCCAGCTGTTAGTGCTATTTTACAGGGTAAGGGGACACTGGATGCTACCAGGATAATTTGCAGTATCACCTATTCTAACATTTACATGCATTTGTTTTAAAAAGGCAAATATTTGCATGCAGTATCAGTCTAATAGGACCGACTTTCCATTGGTTCGTCATTAAAGGAATATCCAGCTATATCTGAGATCCATCCAAAGATTCTTAAGTACAAAGGTGGAATTCTCTGCACTGCAATTTTTGTACAGTTGGCAAGAAAAAATGGTAAATAAAGATGATGCCATCGGTTTTTATTCAACACTTGGTGGTCTAGGTAACAAAAATAATTGAATGTCTACAATGATTTTTTTTTCTTTTTTCCTAACTCAGCCGCCCATCCCCGGTTTGGCGTGTTTACTTGATGATTAAAAGGGGTAACAAGTGTATAAAACATTAAATGATGTAACTTAGATGTAGCTCCCAAATGTATTTGGATGTACAGATTTACTAAAGAATACTTTTTCTGATGATTCAATGTACAAACGTGTGAATTTAGGTGGCTTTTTACATCCTGCCTGCTGTTGCATGAAATTTTGGGGGGTTTCCTCGCAATGTGTGTGTGTGCGTGTGTCATGTTTTCTGTTGACTGAAGCTCTTTCAGAAGCAAAAACTTGTAATTTATAAGTTTAATTTTGTTTAGTTATCTCTGGACACTTGTGTAACACCTAAAGCAGTGCTGCTTTAAGTGTTCAGAAAATTTAAAATAAACTTTTCAGACAAATGTTCTGATTGTAAAAAATAGATAAATTTCGCACTTGGAAATTTTTTTCAAGCAGTACTGCAGAATACCAATTCTTTAATAAAGTGCTACATATTCTCCATATCTCAAACGCCAGAGGATAGGTCACATTCCAATTCCAGTGTGCTTTATTAATTTAGAAAGAAGCTTTCTGGTTCATGAGAAGAGGCACCTATTAAGTGTACAGGCTATGATGGTGAAATAGATAGTGGACAAATGACAATTATTTCTGGAGGTTTGTTGCAGCAAGGCCTTCGGGTTTTCAAAGATGACTGGAGGTTAATTTTAACATGTATCGCCAAGGCAAGGCAGATTCCAAATAATGCAGGTGTTCCCAAAAGACAAATTACTGTGAGGGGAGTTGGTTAGCCCTAAACTGTGTGTATGGTGTATGTATGTATAAAGCAAAAACAGTTTTCCCGAGGTAAGTTCACTTGGATACTTATTTTCACCTTGGAAAATTGTGGAAGAGGAGAAATAAATACAATTTACTGTAAGTGAATTGTGGCTGGCTATCTGAAAATGTTTTATATGTGTAGTTAAATTCCATGGTGGGTCTGCAGTTCTTTTCATATCTAAATGGCAGACAGATATTAAATGATTTTGGCCCTCTTATTTTGGTAGTGTTTGCAGTTCATTTTATAAACACTGGTTTTATTCAAAAATTCTAATAGAGCAGATTAAATCCTCCATACAGTTACTAGACAATCTCTTTTCAGGTAGCAGTGCGTAGGGGTTCTGCACAAACTTCATGGAAATCCTTGCAGATTGCACAGTAGTGGGATGCATAGCACATTACGATCCACAGTAGATTAGATGTTTGCCTCTGTTTGGAAACTGGAAATACTGTTGTTGTCGTTTAGTCGTGTCCGACTCTTCGTGACCCCATGGACCAGAGCACGCCAGGCACACTCCTGTCTTCCACTGCCTCCCGCAGTTTGGTCAAACTCATGCTGGTAGCTTCGAGAACACTGTCCAACCATCTCATCCTCTGTCGTCCCCTTCTCCTTGTGCCCTCCATCTTTCCCAACATCAGGGTCTTTTCCAGGGAGTCTTCTCTTCTCATGAGGTGGCCAAAGTATTGGAGCCTCAGCTTCATGATCTGTCCTTCCAGTGAGCACTCAGGGCTGATTTCCTTAAGAATGGATAGGTTTGATCTTCTTGCAGTCCATGGGACTCTCAAGAGTCTCCTCCAGCACCATAATTCAAAAGCATCAATTCTTCGGTGATCAGCCTTCTTTATGGTCCAGCTCTCCCTTCCATACATCTCTACTGGGAAAACCATAGCTTTAACTATACGGACCTTTGTTGGCAAGGTGATGTCTCTGCTTTTTAAGATGCTGTCTAGGTTTGTCATTGTCAAGAAATATTACTTAAACTAATTAGAACAGTGACCAGAATTTCAATATGGATGCCACTAGTGAGAAATCATTTTATATTTCTCGCCAATTTTTGGTTTGTTTCCTGTTCCAAAAAAAAATCTAGATTATGTCACAAGGATTATGTTACAGCCCAATTAACGAAATAAGTAAATTAAGTGATGTGGTTATTTTGCATAATACTTGTTTATATTCAGCCCTTTAGTGCAGCTTGCAATGTTTAGGCACCAGGTGAGCCAGCCAGAGGGTGGGGAGAGTGTTTCATAGATGGGGCACCAGCTTACCTCAACGTATGTCAGGTTTATACTGGAGTAAGCAGTCATCGAGGTACCCAGGTCCTGCACCAGGGGCTGCCAAGCTTTTTGGACCTGTGGGCAAATCTTGGATTTTGAGTGAGTGCTGAGGCTCAGGACAAACTCCACAGCAGCCATGGTGTGACTAACACAAAAGACTGCCACCCAGAAGAAGGGGCATCAGACATCACAAAATCAGAGTAGTCAGGGTGACGCTTTTCCTGTAATTGTATTTCCATAAGAAGAAAGGTAAGCCTTTTGGATTTCTGACTGCCAAACAGCTGTTAAAGGAACAAGAAAATTATTTCCCCTGCCCTGGAATCTAGGGTTGTGCTCCTGCAGGAAGCAAGCCCCTCTTGAGATGTGAATGCTCTGAACCAGTGGTTCCCAATTAGGGGTCCGGGACTGTACTGTACTGTATTGGTATTACAAAACAAAACAAAACCTTTTAAAGCTCTCTCCCCATCCCACAAGGGATGCGGGTGGCGCTGTGGGTTAAACCACAGAGCCTAGGACTTCCCGATCAGAAGGTAAGCGGATCAAATCCCCGCGATGGGGTGAGCTCCCGTTGCTCGGTGCCTGCTCCTGCCAACCTAGCAGTTCGAAAGCACCTCAAAGTGCAAGTAGATAAATAGGTACTGCTCCAGCGGGAAGGTAAACAGCGTTTCCGTGCGCTGCTCTGGTTCGCCAGAAGCGGCTTAGTCATGCTGGCCACATGACCCGGAAGCTGTACACTGGCTCCCTCGGCCAATAAAGCAAGATGAGCGCCACAACCCCACAGTCGGTCATGACTGGACCTAATGGTCAGGGGACCCTTTACCTTTAGCTCAATCTAGAGCATGAGATTTTAAATCTCATGGTCGTAGGTTCGAGCCCCAAATTGGTTAAAGGATTCCAGAATTACAGGGGGGGGTTGGATTAATCCCTTCCAACTCTGCAATTCGTATGCAATAACAAGCAAGCTGAAAACCCTGAGTTTCTCCATTGCTCCTCTATGGGCGCATTGAGGAGGAAGGAGGAAAGTGAAAAGGGAGCTAGGAAGCTCCACGGCACTCGGGTTGAACGCGTCACTCTGCGATTCTTTATACGTCTATGGTGACGGCAACCAAAGCGTCGCGGGGGATGGGAGGCGTGACGCGCCTCTTCGGGAAGAGGGCGAAGCACGTGACTCTCCAGTGGCCTCGGCTCAGCCTATCAGCGCCGAGGAGCCGCTTCCACGGGTCCCTTTCGCCGACAAGATGGCGGCCGTAGCAGCCAGTTCCCCTCAGAGCGCCGCGACGCCCTCGCCGCCGCCGCCTCCTGCTCCCGCGGCTGCTTCCCCGCCCGCAGCTGCCTCCACCGCCGCCGCCGCCGTTTCGTCGGCGCCTCCCGCGGCTCCCGCTCCGGTTCCCCTCCAGGCCGCCCCGGCGCCGGCCCCGACTCCGGCCCCTGCCCCGCCGCCGGCTCTGGCGGCGCCTTTCCCCGGCGGCCGCGCGGTCCGGATCCACCCGGTGGTGCTCGCCTCCATCGTGGACAGCTTCGAGCGGCGGAACGAGGGGGCCGCCCGGGTCATCGGGACGCTGCTCGGTAAGGCCAACGACACCCTTCCGTCCCAACCGCCGCTTTTCCTCGTGGCCGGAACTCTGCACATGCTCAGAAGCCCGTCTTCGTTCTTTACCTACCTTGCACTCATTCCTAGGCTGGTAATAATCGGCTTGGAGTTTCGCTGGCTTGCTTTTGTTTTTTAATCGACTGGTTTATAGGTTTTATGAAGCGGAAGCGATAAATTAATTAACTGGCATAGTTTTAGTTCGTAGTTATTTCGTAAAATGTATATACACCGCTTGGGTGTTAAAACACAAACGTGAAACTCGGAAGTCAGACATCTGTGTACTCATTTAAATGTAGCTTTGCCAGTTAATAACTTTATGCTTCCTATGTTTTTATCCCATAAAATATATACACCACCTGGTCGTCAATCAAACGCAAAATTGTTATTATTATTTATTAAATTTATATACTGCCCTATGTCCAGGGGTCTCAGGGCGGTTCACAGAATAAAATCAAGATGTAAAACCAGCTAGTCATCACCATACTAATTAAAATGTAGCTATGCTAGTTAATATTTTCATGCTTTTTTTATTTCATGAAGTTTATATGTCATTTGTAAACAACAACAACCCAAACCCTCAAAGCATGTTACAAAAAGATACAACCGGGGAAAAGCTACCATGTGTTAAAAATGTACAAGAAGCTAAAATGCTAAAAGCAGCTGCTTGGCAGCATTTATTTGATGCTTAGTTTAGACTGCTTTGCAAGGTTACCCACAGGCCAGGGGATGAAACTTCATGGATTGCAGTTTAAAGACAGGGATGGGGGATGGGCCTCTCCAGACATTGGTGGACTCCAGCTCCCATCATCTCTTGCCTAACAGTAAGTAGAGGGTCATAGCGTCCCATTCCTTCTCTTAAAGTTTTCCAAGTGTATTTGACAGGCAGAGGCGAAATTTGAATCTGGGCTTCATGCCTTGTAGCTGAGGTCACATGGCAGCTTTGCTGCTTCGACGCTCCCGTTTTGTAATGGTGCATTATTTATTGCATTTTGTTCCTGCTTCCTCTGTCATTGTTTGGCTGGTGCGCAGGATCATTCCTGTGAAGTAGCCTAAAAGGCAGCCCACCTGTGTATACTGCAGTGGCTGAGCAAGGAATTTGGAAGCCAGATCTCCCTGTTCTGTTCATGTCAACTGTAGTGGCTCTCAGAACACTTCACTCACAATGGTATCTCAACCAGTTTGTCAGGCAAGTGAGTATGATTATTCCCATATTGCAGATGGGTGTTGAATTTATGACTTTATGGCAAAGAGACAAGGCAAACCAGGAACGTACTGATTTGTAGGTCAAGCCGCTAGGCTGTGGTACCTTTTGCATGGTCACATGTCTCAGCCCTAGGATGCCCAAATGCAGTGGAGAATTAAATGTGCTTTAAATAGCATCAAGGTTGCAAGTTTGATCCCCTTATGAGATAGCTGCATATTCCTGCATTGCAGGGAGTTGTACTAGATTGATCCCCAGGATCCCTTCCAACTCTACAATTCTGTGAATTTACGTGGAAGAGGGGATTTTGGAAGAGGATAACTTGTCATAAAAGGCAAGGAAAAGTGCATCTGTTTTAATGTACTTTTCTAAATAGTTTATTGAAGGAACAGGGAGCTCTTTTTTGCACCAGGTCAAAATACTCAGGCCTTATACTGAAACGTGATCCCATGGGCTAGTGTAAATTATGGCCACATTGTTGTACACCACAATAAAAAGCATTCTTTAATAGATACTGAAAGAAACTGAAGTTGGAGAAGAAAGCTGGGTGATGTTTCTAATTCCAGTATATTTTCTTAGCAAACCTGAATCTTCTGCTTCTTTTGGTCAGGCTTCTCCTAAGTTCTGTGCCAAGGGTGGGAAACCTTCTGTCAAGGGCTGCAATCCACCAGCTGTAAGATGTCAGGGGTTACATTATGTTGGAGACTCAGTCGACTTCATCCTTCCCTCCCTTTCTTCCTCCGAGAGAAAGCAATAAAAGGGAAAGCACTTTGCATTTTGAGTACATCAAATGCTTTGATACTCTACAGCAGCAGCACCCCTAAAAAAACAAGCCCCTTGCTTCTCCCTCCAGCATCCTAAATTTTGGTTTCTTTCTCCCCACAGACCCACAACACTTTGCAATTCAAATTACATCAGACACTCTCCAGCATAAAGAAGGCATTTTGCCTATTAATCTTGGTTTCCTCCCTCTACCCTCCAGCACTTTTGCTTCTCCCTCTAGCTCCCAACAAAACTGTGGAGAGGGAGGGCCATGGCAGGGATCTGGCTGATGCTTTCTCATGGAAACATCTCTCTTAATTTCACAGGCACAGTTGACAAACATTCTGGAATTGCAAGGCTTCATGAGCCGAGACCAGCCCAGCAGCTGACAATCGCTCATCCTTGTCTTATACCTTAATTACAAAATTTATCCTTGCATGATCCTGGGGCCTTGGTTAGAAAGGCTTTCTCTTCCAGAAACATGTTGTCCTTAATTTTGCAGGCACCATTGACAAGCATTCAGTAGAAGTCACCAACTGCTTCTCAGTGCCTCACAATGAGTCAGAAGATGAGGTGAGTTCCTGCTTCCTCCCCATGCTCTATTATGTCATGTACTGGCCACTCAGAGCTAAGCCCAGTGTGGTGTTGAAATAGTTGATAGCTAGATTAGAGAATTCTGGGTTTCAGAATCCCTGTGACTCTGGTGCAGCATCATTTCTTGGAAATTTGATAACCTGGTGATTGTTTGAAATGAAGGCAGGGAAGCTATAAGACCATTTGCAGAGAGCAGGTTTTGTGCATGCACAGTTCCAGGTTCAATCCTCAACATCTACAGTTACAAGAACTTAGTTAACAAGGCAGGGAAGACTGCTTCAGACCTTGGAGAGTTGCTACCATTGCAATAGATGAGACTCACTGCTACACATTCTCTAACTTCCTTTCTTTACTTCTAGGTGGCAGTTGACATGGAATTTGCCAAGAATATGTATGAACTGCACAAGAAAGTTTCTCCCAGTGAGATTATTCTGGGATGGTAGGTTGCTATTCTCCTTGTTTCAAAAACAGAACAGCATTATTGGGCTTTTAAAATTGTTGATGTACAATTCAAGTTATGCTGGGGCAAAAGTGTGTTTACTCCTGTGTTGCACAACTCATGCCAGAGAAGGTAAAATTAATTGTGACTTACCTAAAAATGGCAGAACTACAGCAATTTCCTGACTTCTGTTCTGTGTTAGAGCATCTTATCTGATCTTTTTTTTTAAAAAAAGCACTGCTGCCAAGTCCCAACTTGGGAGAAAGGTGGGATATAAACATGTTAAATAAATACATATTTGTTAATATTTTTATGCCATCTTTCAAAATGATGGCTTACACTCCGCACAAAAACATTTCAAAAGTCCTTTTTTGTACCCAGCAAGAGACTTCAGTGACTGCAGTAAATAACTGACTGCCCATTTAGTTGGAGGAGAGGAACATCTTGTTCCGTATAGACCAATTGGTTAAATGGCTGGAGTATCATGCGGCTACATTACTTATGAATGTTGGATGTGCCAGTCTCCCCATACCTATAACATATGTTCACTGTGTAAGGGCCTGGTTCAGACATAATGACAAACTGTGGGCTGTGATTAAAGGAACAAGTGTTTTGTGAGCCTCAGAAGCATATACCTACCTGCTACTTTTTGTCTCCGCACAACTAAGAGGATAGTATAAGCTTATCTGCTTCCACTTTTAGATTAACTACAGTTCTCTATTTTATCCAGACTCAGAGAACTGTGGCTAGTTCTAACTGTAGTTAGTTTAAACAAATGACAAACATTTGATTCTGGTTTATTTTAACTAAGTGCAGTTTCTAATTGCACTGGGCTTATGCTTTCTCCGCAGAGGTACTGGCAAGTCTCTTGCTATCTTTTTTCCTTGTATTTATTTTGTGATGCAACTGGTTTATCAACAAATCATAGAATTGGAAGAGTTGGAAGAGATCACAGTGGTAATCTAGTCCAACCCCCTGCAATGCAGGAATCTTTTGCCTCCAAACCAAGTTATGATATATATCTTTAATGTAATTCAGAGGGCAGCACAAGAATGATTTATGGATGTATCTACATCTGAATTAGCGTTGTTTAATATATCTCACTGGCATATCACATCTGCGTCTAAAAGGTCTGTGTTGAATGAATGGGCTTCATTGTGTGCAGGTATTAATTAGTCTAAATTATGTTTTTGAAGGTATGCAACAGGGCATGACATCACAGAACACTCTGTCTTGATTCACGAATATTACAGTCGAGAAGCACACAATCCAATTCACCTCACGGTGGACACCAGTCTTCAAAATGGGCGCATGAGCATTAAGGCCTATATCAGGTATTTACAAAACAACCTTCGTGTACTGCACTTGTTCTACCTCCATCTTTGTTCCTTTTAACTTAGAAATCTGGTGTTTTACAAAAATAGCCTTTCAAAAACAAGTAAGACAATAAAATATCAAAAACGAAAATCTAAATGCAATAGAATAGACTATCAGATACATATGACTATTTGAAATAAAAATGTTTTCAAAGCATATCTATAAACAGAAAGACTGAGCCCAGTGGAACTTGCTTGGAATAATGTCTCTTATTTAGTCGCTACCATGGAGAAGGCTCTGTCTGTCTCATATACCCAAGGACATTCAATTTATGAGAACATTCCAGGGCTCCTGACTGTAAGTTTCAAATTAACAAAGGATTTGGAGAATGTTTCAGTGGGCATTACAGAGGAAGGAGAGAGGAACAAATTTGTCATCCTGCTTTTAAGGATCCCAATTGTGAGGATGGTCCTCCACGTACTATGTATGGAGAAGGGATGGGATGAGAACAGGTGTTAAAATGTTCTCATTTGTGCTTTCTTTTATTTCCTACCATTCTGCAATTTCCTTGCTTTTTAATCAGGTATTTGTCCACCGGAACATTCAGAAGTACTATTTGTATATTTGCAGTTCTTGCCAAAGTTTGGCTTTCTGTGTTGCCCGAAGCAGGATTCATAGTTAAGCTCTCCTTTCACTAACTATGAGCTGTGTAACCAAGGTTTGTTCTTGGTGTTAGCTGATGGTTAGTGAAGAGGGAGCTGAACCATGATCCTGGGTTCAGATGACGCCCTAAGGCAAACTTAGGCATAGTCTGGTGTAGTGTGGGAACAAAAATGACCTGGGAAGAGCCAAGTGGTTGTGAGCTCCTCCAAAACCCCACACAATGGCACCAACTCGGTAAGCCATAGTTTGTCCTACCATGCCATATGAATCAAGCCAGTGTAACCACCTCCTTGGGTGCTATAAAGCTTCTCCTGAGCCCTTGTTTGTGCTAAGAAAATCTATTTTTCCTCTAGTACTGCAATGGGAGTCCCTGGTAAGACTATGGGAGTAATGTTCACTCCGCTCACAGTGAAATATACTTACTACGACACAGAACGGATAGGTGGTAAGTATTCTTGTCCTTTTTTGATACTTTATAAATGTATTTGAGTTATTAAAGTACAGTGGACACTCAGGTTGCAAATGTGATCCCTGCGGGATGCACATTCGGAACCCGCAGCGTTCACAACCTGCATCTGCGCACGTGAAGGTTGCTATTCTGCGCTTCTGCGCATGCGCAAAGCACGATTTAGCACTTCTGTGCATGCACGACTGCCAAAACCCGGAAGTAACCTGTTCTGGTTCTTTCGGGTTTCGGCGGTCCGTAATCTGAAAAAATGCAACCTCAAGCGTCTATAACCTGAGGTATGGCTGTAGTGTGTGCCTGTCCTCCCAAGTTTCTCTCATTATTTGGGGCTGAGACAAGTAGAGGTTGGCTTGACAGTGTTCTGTAGGATAAAGTAATAGGGCTGTAATCTAGGACGCAGTTGAGAGTGGCCTAACCTTCCACTTATGCCTGATGCTGATCTTACTAGGGATAAGGAGTGGGGCTTGTGTGATCACCTCTTTGCTGCTCCCCGTATAAGTGAAATAGTTGCCACTCATTCCTATGGGTGTTGCTGACCCTTAGGTTGGAAGACTGGGATTTTATTTAATTAATCCACAGCAGCCATCTGGTTTGCCTGGGGCGAGTAGTTCTCAAATGCACATATCTGTTTATTCCGCCGCCAACTTGACCATAGTTGTGTGTTCCAGTCTAGAGCATTCATAGCACTCCTTTGTGTTGCCTCCGCATATTATGGCTGCTGTCTCTGTGCATGCTCTCTCTACTTCCAAGTAGTGGGGTGTGGGTGGTTTGCGGTGGGTGATTTAGAACAAAAGACGGAGGATTCAGTTACCCAACATTCTTTTGTAAGGCTGGAGCTGAATGATGTAGAGTACAGTGGTGCCCCGCAAGACGAATGCCTCGCAAGACGAAAAACTCGCTAGACGAAAGGGTTTTCCGTTTTTTGAGTCGTTCCGCAAGACGAATTTCCCTATAGGCTTGCTTCGCAAGACGAAACGTCTTGCGAGTTTGTTTCCTTTTTCTTAAAGCCGCTAAGCCGTTAATAGTCGCTAAGCCGTTAATAGCCGCTAAGCCGCTAATAGCCGTGCTTCGCAAGACGAAAAAACCGCAAGACGAAGAGACTCGGGGAACGGATTAATTTCGTCTTGCGAGGCACCACTGTAGTAATAGTTAAGGCTATAATAACCAGCTGTTCAACTAATACATTTTCTTGAATGAACTGACATTTATTTAGCTCATATTAAAAATTAATTTTAAACCATCTATATCCTGCCTTTCTGCCTGTCAGTAGGCCTCCAAGGCAGCTCACAGTAAAAAATAAAAATGAACCTACAATAAATGTAAGATTCTTTTTCAGAAATAAGGGCTGTGGGAAAGGTATTGTTTTCCAGTTGCTGCTCTTTCAAAATTCGGCCATGGCCATGTGGGAAAACAGCCTACCACCACCACATGGCTCTGTTCCAGGGGTTGGAGAACCTGTTCTTGGGCAGTAGGAATGGTGCTGGCTTTTCCTAGCAGCAGTGAGAGCACAATGATAGCTGTCGGCTGCTCAGTGCTTAGATACCACTGTGTTTATAAATATTTGGGTCCAGCTGGGTTTTCGGTGGCTGACAACAGCTGCAAAAAGGCAGTGGGTGCATAGCTTGAATTGAGTGGGTTGAGTGAGGGGCCTTAATCTCCGTTGATTGCTTTTTGCCCCTGCAACTCCCTTCCTTCAGCTCAGGTCCTAGATAATATGTTTGCCACATTGTGAGGGAAAGCAGGCGGGAGGAGGGACTTGCAGGGGAACTTGGCTGTCAGGAAGGAAATTAAGCACTTAATAGCAGCTACAGTAGCAACATGCTTGTGTGCCCAGAGACACTGTTCTGCATCGAAACATGTTCAGCTTTTAAATGCTTTCTCTAAATTGGAAGACGCACACTATTTGGCAATATCAACCTTCAGCAAAATCTGGATTTTTAACAATTGGATTTCAGTTTCTAATGAGTGAAAGGCTTTGCCAACAACGCTTTCAGCTGAATAACCATGCAGTGGCCAGGGGGAAGGTATGAGGCAGTAGCATCAAATAGCAGTTGTTGAATTCCCACTAGAATTCAGAAGTCTGCATATGAGCAATGGATTCAGAAGTCTGCATATGAGCAGTGAAGCATCATTGCTACAGTACATGGCTTTAGGTTCAATTTCTGGAATTGTGAGTGGTGACAAATGCTGTTCTAACAGTCATTCCCACACCCTGTGTTCTCAGTTGATCTCATCATGAAGACTTGCTTCAGTCCAAATCGAGTGATCAGTTTATCCAGTGACCTTCAGCAAGTGGGAGCTGCTTCTGCTCGGATTCAGGATACCCTGAGCACGGTGCTGCAGTATGCTGAAGATGTGCTGGTGAGGATAGTGTTGTGGTCTGGCCAGGAAATAAATGCACCCTTGTTTGTGTGCACCTTTATTTTGAATGACTTGTTAACATTGCCTGTCTTCATATCTAGTCTGGTAAGGTGACTGCTGACAACACTGTTGGCCGCTTCCTGATGGACCTCATCACCCAGGTTCCGAAGATTTCGCCAGAGGACTTTGAGACAATGTTGAACAGCAACATCAACGTAAGTCCATAGAGCTGGCTTGTAAAAGCATCGCTTGCTTGGAAGCTTCCTCCATGCAAGCAATGTGCCACAATTGGCTAAGATATAGATGTATAGGTGGGTAAGCTGGTGATTCCTGTTTGGTTTAGTAGCACCTCTTGTGTGTACTGACTTGCAAGGCTACCTTAGATCTCTGGTGCAGCAACCTTCCTGCACAACCAGAGGGGACTTTGAATTGGCTGCCTTTTATGAAGGCTTATTTCCCTGCAAATCAAGAACTTGCGTTGTATTGGATCATATTCTGAAAAGTTGCCCATTTGGATAAAAATATGGACTCTGACCAGTTCCAAAGTTAGCGTTGGGGTGGGGTGTGTGCATACACATGTTGCTTATAAAAGGATGGTAGCCAAGTCAGTATGTTCTATGTATATGCTCCTTCCCACAAGCTCCCTTGAATGCTCCTGTGTAGTTTTGCAGTCACAGCCTAGGTCTTGACCAGAGCCTCGGTTTGCCCAACTGCACACTGCAGTCTTGTAAACCTTGTAAACTGCCAATGTAAAATTATTGGCAGTGGCCATGCAGTTCAGACTGCATAACTCAAGATAGTGGTTACCTCTGGTTCAGGTTTCCTGTCTGGAAAATGGAGGCATGACAACTGTACAGCCTTTGTGGACAACGGGTCTGGAACATTGGGGCCTGGCTACCCAGGCCACACACCTCATTGACACTGCTCCATGCTCTCTTCAAGTCCTTTTCCCCAGTTGGAATGTGTCCTTAGACTTTGATAATTCATCTTGCTTGTTTGGATGGGGGTGTTTGTGTGTGAAGAGATGTAAAAACCTCTGGCTTTTGTATGGTTGGAATTAGTCTACCGTACAGAGAGAAGAGTTTCATTTATTGCTCTGCCCGCTTTTGCTTCTGGCCACGCCAACCATTGGCAAACGGCCCTCAGAAGGTTGCTTATAAGGGAATGTGGCCCTCGGGCGGAATAAGGTTTCCCTTCCTATACCATATTGCAGAGAATGAGATCAAAATTAGTAGAGCACCTCTCTTACTGGACTAAATCCTGTTGGTACGAAGCTTCACGATAATGTAACTGTTTGGCAAGGCTTTCAAGCTGTATTAAACAATCTGGAACTGGGAGCTGAAGAGGCTCTGCAGTGTCTTGGCACAACCAGGTGGACCCAAGTATAAATACGCTCCTGCAAATTAACAGATTGTTATTTTATACAACTGTTTTCTGCCTAATCTTATGCATGCTCCTTTCTTCTTTTCAGGACCTGCTGATGGTGACTTACTTGGCAAATCTCACACAGTCACAGATCGCACTCAATGAAAAAATCCTAAACCTGTAATTAACTCCTAACCATCTTATTAGAGGAGAAGGTGAAGAAAACTGTGGAGTTGTAACCTTGTCATTCAGTTCTTATAATTGGACTATAACTTTTGAAATGACTGATAACTAAACTGTCAACTTTATCCTGGCCCCTCTTTCCAACCCTTGAAGAACCGCACCCCCAAAAAACAGGATCACAAAGAGGAAGACAATAATTAAAAATAAGCTAGCAACTCCCAAGCTGCTGAGTCTTGCCCATTCATGTTTCGATCTTAATAGCCAACCAAGTAAAATCCCATTCTTTTTAATTCATTTTTTGACAAATCTATTCTTAACATCAGCACCTGAGGGAAGAGGAAGAACAACCTAATAATACATACCACAAACATTTCAAAAACAAACTACATAAAATATTGCTGATCTTTGAAACCTTTCTTCTAAATGGCCGAAGTTCTTTCAGCACTACCCAAACTCTGCTTGATCTTCAAAAGTACTTGGGGTGGGGGAAGAAACCATAAAGTATAGTGAAGAATTGTGAGAATCTAATGGAGCAGGAGATATTGGCTGACTTTTCCTTGGCCTAGAGGCTTCTGCTCCAAGACTCTCTAAGAGTTCAATATTCTTGGAATCAGGAGTACAGCTTAGATTCCAGCCAAGTAGCAACAAGAGTTTATTGGAAGTGGACTTGTTCAGAACAGTGTTGAATTGATGCCAAACCATGGCAAGGAGCCATTGTTTAAAGTCCCATTTTTTCTATATAAAGCACATGTGTCAGCAAGGCGGTATGGCTCCTAAGCATGTTTTCTGGCTAAACACATAACAGTGTCTCCTCTGTTACAGGGAGCTATCCTGCCAAGAGGCATATGATACTTAGTTGTGTATCTCATGATTAACTATAATCTCTCTAAAATGCATTCCAAACTCTTGTTTCTCTGACACTCACTGTTGCCAAGCTTGTTGAAGCCTTCACTTTCATCAGGTCTATACAGCTGCGCGATTTCTCATATGTAATATGAAAAAATAATATTACAACCTTTGGCCCTCCACATGTTGCTGCACTACAGTTCCCATCCACTCTTCCCATGGTTGCTGGGTTGATAGTTGTTGGAATCCCAACAACATGGAGTGCACCAGAGTTCCTCACCTTGGGACTACACAAAGCAACCTCTGAAAGCCTCTCTGTATGCCTATACTTATAATTTATCACGGAAGGGCACAATCTGTTGGAACATAAGCATTTAGGGCTTTCTAGATCAATTTGATCTTCCTAGATTATGCTTAAAAAAACACTTACACAGTTGCTAGCTTAATCTGTGATGGGCAATAGCCAACAGATTGATTGCAAAGTGTGGTTTCTCATTTTGAGAACCTTTTGGGCAACAAAACTCCCCTATTGCTATCCTAACGATGAAGTGGAAAAATAATATCCTTTGTGATTTTAAACCCCAAATACAAGAGCAACCACACTTCATCTCCACATTTGCAGAAAATATCCCCGCTGTGATGTCTTCGTGAGGACTCATCAGAGAGGGATTTGAACCTTTTAAATGTAGTTTAATGCACATAAAAGGGAAGCATCAGCATTTTCAAAGATCCTGACTTGGTCAGCCATTTTGCCCATTGCAGACTTGCGCTCAACAGTAGCACTTATTATTAACTGCAACCCCGAAAAACAGGCAAATAAATGCATGCAAGCCTGCCCAAATTGTGTATTCCGGTTGCAAAGTTAAGTCAGGGTAGCAAACTGTACTTTAACCTGAGGATATGAATAGCACTTTCCATTGCCTGTGATGGTCTCAGTGCCACTGTTAGGACCTGATGTCCCAGCGGGTGCTAGGATCCCAGCAGCTTTAACAATTCCTGCCCTGGTCCACTGTAAATTCTATTTTCAGTCTGATACTCCAAGAAGTGCCACCTGGTTGGATTTAGCCAACCTTTTAATTACAGTACCAACAGTGCCCCTGATCTAGTGCCATGTAAAGGAATTACAGGAAATTAAAAGGATTGCTATACCTAACACAGCTTTGAGTGCTGCCAACAAAGCCAGGTTAGTTGGAGAGAACCTGTTGAGGGGCCCCACCAGTGGTCACTTTGCTTGAGCAGCCCTTTAAACTTGGACATATGTCGAGTTGCAGCTCGGCATCCAAAGAAAAATCAGTCTCACACCATAATAGGTTCCGAAATATAGCTGCTCCTAGGGCTAATGCAGCACAGCTTTTATTGTGTGAAATCAGAAAGATACAAAATACAAGCCAAGCAATTTGTTCTAGCCAGCAGATAAGGACCTTCGCACTAGACTATGCGAACATCAGGCCATGCCACGTTAGCCAATCATATAGGACAGCACGAGCTGTTCACGCGCTGTTCATGCTCCAAGGATGCTTCTAGCTATGAAATCACCCTGTAACAATAAGAACTTTGCTCATGCTCTCATGTACAAGCAATCATTTTCCCACATATCCCCTTTTCTTGTTTATATTATTAGAGGAAAAGAGGGACCATCAGTCCAAATCGTACACTTCATTGCCTAAGCGTCTACACTTTGCAACATAAATTCCTCTTGTAACCCCTGTGGTGGGCCGTGGTCGGTACCACCATGCAGTGCATTGGGAAATCAAAGAGGGTATGCATTGAATGCAACAACACACCATAATGAAGCCAGCAATACATGCAATTACAATCAATAATATTTTTCTTAACCATAATCCATTAGGTAACCAAGAAGACAACCACTCCCATGGATCAAAACCTTCAGGTGGATTCAAAGGATTATGGGCTATCATTTGTTCCATATGATCAATAGTAGCAGAGATATTGGTCGATTGATCAGTTATATACATGCAGCAATGAGAATGAATTAAGGCACAAATTCCACCTTTAGAAGCAAGGATCACATCTAAAGCATAATGATGTTGAAGAACTACATTTCTTATTTCTGATATTTCTTTGTTAATCATTTTTAAAGCCAAAATGGTGGAATTAAACAATTTTTCTGTCCAGTTTGCCAATTTATGCAAATCACGGTAATTCATGGCTGCACCTAAAGAAGGCAGAAGGGACCTAGAGATGGCTGTCCCTGTATATTGAGAAATAGGTGATAGTACTTCCCTTCTGTTACGCAAACGGACCGCTGGGAGCTTATCTATTTTATACACCAAGGGTACTACTATACCTAACGTGCAGGTACCAGAAAAGGCAGAGGGGATTTCTTTGTAGGCACGTGTGCCACAAAATAACCATAAATCAGATTGAAGCAAACATGTAGTTCTGCTGCTCTTTCTCATCCAGTCCAACCAAGCATAAAATCTCTACACGCAGCCTGTTGTTCATAGGTCATGTAGGTTGTGACATTATTAACTGAGACTTTTGGCCTACCACTCATAGTGGTAACATTAAGAAAACAAGAAGATCCATTAATGTATTCATGTGTCCAATTACAATATGGATAATGACCTAAAAATTTTTTGCTATTGTGATTAAAATGAAAACAATAAGGAGCTAATTCTACAAGCGATAGAAATACAGGAGGTAAACTTATGCGATTGTCCTTCATATTATTGCTAATCTTATATGAAGCATTTACTGGAATGCTAGAAGACCACCACCAAAAGAAAGGTTCAAAGCTTTGAGAAGCTTTTTAAAATCATTTTTCTCAGCAGCTTAAAGGCACTAGCGAAGCATATTCCGCTTGCTGTAACTAAAAGTATTGCAACAAGGTCGAGAACAAAGCCCATTGTCTTTGCGGGCCTTGCTAAAGAACCACATTGCAACTTGCTTTCTGTCCGGGAACCATGCCAAAGCACAAGAATGAAACAACTGGAACACACTGAAATCCCCTCACCCCTCCCCTTGCCAAGAGTCCACAATAGTTCCAAGACAGCCCTCTGTACATGCTCAGGGGAACACATCATAGGGCAGGACTCCTGAGGGAGGAGAAAAAAAAAAATCTGGGGGGTAAAATCCAAGTGATGCCAATAAGGATGAGAATGGTAAATTAGTCCAATGGCCACTTCCGAGCAACCTGTGTGATATTTCGTGGCTCGATTATTGGCATGTAAAAACCACAATCCAGAAGAAGTCACACAACCATTTCTGCAGATACAGGAGCCCATTTGCTGTAAATAAGCCTGATGTATTGCTCCTTGTACTGCTTAGTCAAAAGTCCAAGCCCAAGGAAGCGTGATGACACAGATGGGATGGTTGCTATTAGGAGTTGCAAAACTGTAATGATGTTTGGTGGTTGAAGTGGCTTCCCAGGGAAAAGGGGGGCCAATGCAGTAGGGATGAAGATGGTCTTTCAACGTGCCTGGAAACACTGGAACAGCTGTGGAAGGTGACTTTATCCAGGGCACATCAATATGGCGATGTCTCCAATTGCAGTGCAGGTTGAGATTAGGTGGGAGGTCATCACTGGCAGTCAGCGTAAAATACAGTTTCAAGGCGCTGGTGTCTCCTTGGGCGAAGACGAGGCAGCAGAAGAGCGCCAAGGTCGAACGCAAGAAATCAAAGAAGTTGGACCCTTCCACTGTGGATCTGGAAGCAACCTGTAAGACACTAAAGGGCGCTGCAATATTTCTTCCTTCCAGAAATGAAGTTCAGCAGGCGTAAAATTCCTGTTGCCAAATAACCAGGGTGACCAATATGTGATCTAAGATGTGCTTCATAAAATTGACAAGTCCTGGCCTGTATCAAAGATGGAGCACTTTGTGCTGGAGTGACATTGCTGTGCGGTAGATCTGCACTGCGCACGAAAATGGTCCACTTTGCTACATCCAAAGCAGGTTTTATCCTTTGCAGGATTCTGGGGCACGGTGGAGGACAAAGCCGTGGCTAGCAGGCGAGCTTTGTGCATCTCAGTGCCCACTGACTGGCAGGCTTTAAGCACATCTGCAATGACTATATTTGGTGTTGTCATCAAAGGGCGCAGCGCTTGCTTACAGTCCTCATTCTCATTATCAAACGCAAGCTGGCGGACAATCAGTTCTTGGGCTGCTACGTCCTGAACTTGCCGCTTAAGAGTGTTATCCAAGCGATCGACAAATTGTCCATAGGGCTTTGTAGGACCCTGTCTGATGCTGCCCCCGCGCTCATTCTTGTCATCAGGAACAGAGGACAAAGCTTCTTGGGCGGCAGCAGTAGTAGCTGTCCAATACATGGGATCAAGGGCCAACTGTTGGGCAATAGTAAGAAAATTGCCTTCGCCAGTTAAGCCATCAAGAACATCAGTTTGGTTCAGCATAACAGGGGCTGGGGGTGCAGGGCCATTGTCCTTGACAGAAGAATACAGTTCCTTTATGAATCTCAAATC